AAGAAAAAAAAAATAAAATAAATTTCTCTGAGTATTTTCCCCTCTTTTCTACTTATTCTAATATGAAATCTCTCTTAGTTGTTTGCAGTTCCATTCTCGTGTTGCATACCATACAATGTATACCCCTTAGACCCGTGCAGAGTGGCAACCATAATTACTTATAATATATTGTATGTATACAGATAACCAAAGCAATAGAAGACAATAAAAAACAGCTTCTGTCATTTTGTAGACTATGCATCTCAAACTTAAATTGATTAAAATAATTATGGCTCTACTGATAAGAACGCTGTAATCTAAATAACTAAAGACAATCGTGAAGATAAGACTATTTTGCCCACAAAGCTCGAGTTATAAGCTATTAAAAAGTAAAAAAAAAAATAATAATTGACAGCAAGTAAAAGTTAGAGAGATGTATARTATAATAAGGATCTATATGAATGGATCCTATGAAATGGATATAAGAACCACGGTACTGCTAAGCAGAGAAGAGTTAATCTCAGATTTCGATGGAGAGGCTATCGAAGATATAAGAAAAATAAAGAGTTTATTTTGTAGTGTTTTTTGAAATATATGTATAGGCAGCTGTTGTTGTTGTTGTTGTTGTTGTTGTTGTTGTTGTAACGGCAGAATTATTGTAAGGCAGCTATAAATACATTGTGACAAAAAAGCCCCCGGAAATTGTAATTTAATTTCCAGGGTAAATGATATTTAAAAAAAAAAATATTTTGCTAAGTTGACAGCACTGACCTTAATTACTATGCCAAGTATGAACACGATCCGCCAACCAGTTTGTTTACAGCAGCTGCTTAGGTTTGTACACTTCGGTAGTGCGATGCGATTTTTACAATGGATAAAAATATCAAACGAAGAAATGGTCTCAAAYTTTGTAAATCTAACCGAATTTAGTGTGCAACATCATATCGAATGTTGGGAAAGGGTTACGGTGGTACAAGCCTTCAAAGACGGTCGAGAGATCGTTGAAAACATGCGTCATTCTAGACGCCCTTCGACTCGTAAACTGATGAAAACTTTGAAATAGCGAAGGATATATGCTTTTGGTGGATATTTTGGGTATGAAACGCGTTCCTTGCTTGACTCATCCGAATTGCGAATTCCGATCCCACAATCACGGAGAGAATTATAACTCCCGAAGAGACATGGGTTTATGAGTTTGACATGCAAACAAGTCAACAATCATCAGAAGGAACCTGTTTTCAGTCGATCGAAGAGATAAAACAAAAAGTTCTTATGAAAAGTGTTTCGAGGACTGAACAGATCGTTGGCATAAGTGTATTAGATCTGGTGGCGATTACTTTGAAGGCGACAAAATAAACATTGATGAATAATGAAATATWTCGTGTTTCATATGTATGTATATCCAGACAGTTAATTTATTCCAAAAAGAAAACTAAGTCCAAAAAAAAAGTGCAATGAACATTGACCTGAATTTTGCGCCATTTGATGCAACTGATTTACATATATCAGTGTATCGTGGTATTATATAATTTTAATTGGAATTTCAGAAAATATTTAAGCATAAAACTATCAGTTATCGGCGTTGCATTTAGATATTCATTCCGCATTTAATAAACGCAATTGCGAAATAATAATTGTACTTTAATTTACATTATACACTTTAATTTTCTTTAAACACTAGCAACACTGATGAATGAGATACGCTGTCAAACAAGTATCAAAACAGTAAATACAACACGCGTACATTTGACTCACACAGCATCCAGTTGTATAAGATGTCATATACTCTTTAATTTTCTTCTCTTCAAATACACAAAAAAAATCAGGTATTGAAATACCAACTCGTCCGAGGTCCGAGTACGCGAACCCACCTGGTGTAGTTGATGTGCGCGGCGTTTTTGGCGTCATCGGTGTGTCGTCCTCGTGCTCTGGTATAATACCATTTGTTTTAAGCATTAGCTTTGGGCGCGTAAAGGACACAGGTGGCGTTGTTATCGCTGCATCCTTCTTTACAGAATTAGTCAAATCAGCAACAACGCCACCACCAACAACATTGCCACCATTCGGTGTGGCGGGTGTGGCAACGGCATTGGCCACGGTCGCGGTGCCGACCACTTCATCTGTTTGCGAGAGTGCACGATCCATTAGCGGAGTTATGCCGGAAGCCGAACTGGCCGAGCAGACGCTGTTGTTGCGGCCACGTGACAGGATATGCGCCTGCGGGAAATTGGTGTCGTCAATGGCGTCATTTAGTTCGCTGGCGCTCATTTCCGAYAGTTGGCGTGTGAAGCTTATGCTCATTATTGTTGCTTTTTTGYTTTATATGAAATGCACACKTTAAATAAATTGCTTGATAAGCTAGMTGAAGCTGTTGTATTAGTTTGTATATTATCACTTTGTGATTTTGTTGCAAAAATTAATTTTTATTAATTTGTACTTTTACACTTGTTGTAAATGAACTTTTTGATTGTTTCGTTATCGTAATGACCGCAATTTTCACTAAAGAAAATTAAATAAAACAAAACGTAAGTACTCAGTACTAATATTTATTGAAAACCGTCACTGGTGTGTTGTTGACAATTGTCGTGGTTGCCGTTAACCGCGCGACCTGTGTGTAGTTTGCGTGTGTGTTTGCAATGAATAATAAAATGAAATTATCTGCGTGCAAACTGTTGTGGCTGCCTTTTATACAAATATCGCAATTTCAGGCGATTTTTTTTTTTTTTTTTTTAATTTTTTGTTTTGCTTTTAATCTCACAAATCGAATGCAATCTGAAATTAGTACGCACACACAACTCACTATTCTTCGTATCACTCATAAGCTACTGCCGTTGCAGCTTTTTAGCATTTATATTTTATTTTCAATTCAACGGTATGATTTTTCAGCTTTGAGAGCGTTTGTTGAACACCTTCACGTTTTAAAATACCGTCAAGCACTAAATTTTCTTGTGAGATTTCTCTGGCCGTGACGCTGCGCCAACACTCACGTAAATCAAAATTATCACAAGAAAAAACCTTTTTGGAAACTGTTTTCATGCTGCTGCATACAACTCAAACAAAGCTCAAAAATTGTTATATAAAGCTTCGTTGCTAAAGAAAGAGAAATCTTACTGAAGAGAATAGCGCTGTTGTTTGTGCAGATATGTATGTATGGGCGTGTGGAGACAATTTTGACGCCGCGAACTGTTAACCGTCGGTTGGGTGGTGCGGAGCAACAAGTATGCTGTTAAATAAATATAGATATATAGAAACTAGCTGAACTCTCTTGTCGCCACTGTAAACACAGAATAAAGCACAGGGTGGGAATTTGTATTTCACACAGTATATTTACACACACACACGCCSAAATGTAGCTGCATATTCAATTGTATTGTTATTTTATTGATGTCGGAGAATGCTACGACGTTGTAAAGAAAAAGTCAGCTTTGTTTTTCTCCGAGTCTTTTCAGCATCTGTGCTGCCGGTGGCAGTATCTCGGCGTGTGGCTACGGCAGCTTGGATTTAGCCAATTTACGCGCCTGGTTTCCGCTAGGAAATCGCTGCTATGGCATTTATGTCGTTGTTATTATGTTAATGCAGATTTTTCGCATGCCCCTGCAACTACACCACCCACTCGTTTCGTTTTCTG